GCAAGTGGATTCTATTCACAAATTATGTAACAATATAAATTACAAATCTTTAGCAAGGACACCGAGGATATGCTCCATCTTCATGGAGCATAACAATATAATACAAATAATAATTGGATAGTACAAGAAACTTATGTTAGAAGAAACAACCTATGATACTTGTAATTGAGAGGTTTTACTAAACCTAAGACCTTTTGCTGGGAGATGTATAACATGACGAGTAGGAAATGGCAGTGATGCGAGTTTCTGGTTTGATTCGTGAACAACAATGGATCATATCCTGAATTTTTTGGGACAGAGGGACTTCGACACCTACGCTTACCTCTACACTCAAGAGTGGCTAATGCATACGATTCAAACGGATCATTTTCATGCAGGCCTTACTTGGAATATTTAAAGCCTAGAGCAAACAAACTGTCTTGGGCTAATGTTATTTGTTTCAAAAGGGCCCAATGTATTATTTTATGATGTGGGTTGCTCAATATGATGAGATAGGCATGTGCATTCGGGTACCCGTTCGGGTTCGGTCCTTTTTTTTCGGGTATCAGGTCTATTCGGGTAGGGGGTCGAGACCCATCCGGGTATTCTAAAAATTCGGTTCGGGTTCGGGTATTTTAATAAAAAAGCAAAATACCCGAAAATAACCAAAAATACCCGAAATATTTTCGGGTTCGGGTCGGGTTCGGGTTTTTTTACTCGTATATACCCAAATCTAACCGAAATACCCGATTTCTCAAAAATACATTGGTTTCTCTTTGCCCAAATATAACCAAAAAATATCTAAAAATACTAAAATTATCCAAAAGAAAACTACATCATTAGTTACTTTTTAACCAAATATATCCGAATTACTCAAAAATACCTAGTATATTCGGATTTATGATTGTAATTTTAGGTATTTCGGATATTATAAGTATAAATATAACTAATATTTTTAGGTGTATATTTGTATTTGGGTACCCACGGGTATTGGATTCGGTTCGGGTTCGGTTCGGGTTTTTTTCGGGTAGGAGGTCTAGGATCCATTCGGGTATTTTTAAAAATCGGTTCGGGTTCGGTTCGGATATTTTTTCGGGTTTTTCGGTTCGGGTATTCGGTTCCGGTTATTTTGCCCCGACCTATGATGAGACACTAACTAAAGTTGATCCAAAGAAAGAAGGAAATGAGCTGACATGGCTTCTTCTTAGCTGTTTTATATTTTTATTTTTGCTGAGGTGGACATATTCAGGGGTTTCAAACAACTCTTCTTAGTTAGTAGTAATGATAGATTTTGTAATTTTCAATGCATTTAAATAGAAAAAAGATATAATAATAATATATAGATATATACTATAAATTTCTTAAACTAATTTTGGTGTTTTTTTCCAACTCATTATAAATTTGATATGATTTATAATATTTTTTTTATGTGTTTAACTCTTGCCTTTTAGAACACATACCATAAAATAAAAATAAAATAAAAGTTGAAAAATAAGAAATTTCCCAAAATTACTAATTTGTTGTAACATTGATTAATTAGTGTCAATTACATATTTTATCTATAGTTGGCATGCAAGTGTCTTTAGAGATATGGTTGGTGCAAAAATATTTTAATTATCTCTTTAATGATATTTGACAATATTAGTCATTAGATGTAATTAGCAAAAGATACTTTACCTATTTTAGCTCCATATACTAACAATATTTTAATTTATATATTACTTAATAAGATATTTGTTACATATTCAATAAATACAATTATGACACTAGTCATTAGATATAATTAGAGAGATACTTTACTACAATTAGTCAAAAATAATTTAAAACTAGATATATTATACATTAATTTTATATAATTGGCCCAAAATAGTTGTTAGCTAAAATTGGCGCGAGATAATTAGTGATATTTTTAACGACTTTTTAAATAAAATTTACCAGACAAAGTCGTTAGATACATAATTGGCGCGAACTATTAAATATCGTTTATTAATTAATAATAGTTACATCTTTCAAAAGGTGGCAAAAAGTCTAAAGAAAAGTAAAATTTTGAGTACCACCCATCTTATATAAATTGTCCATTGTAGAGTTTCATAGATTCAATAAACATTAGAGATATTAGCTTCTTCTTTTTGTTCTAAGAGTTCTTAAATTGTAATTGCTGATTATTTCGACAATAAAAGCTGAGATTGGGTTTGACTTTTTTTTTTTTTTTTTTCATTTCGATTTCAAGAAATAAATAAAAAGGTTTTCAAATTTGGTTTTGGGATTTGTATTAGATAATACTAGGATCTCATAATACTATAGCTATGAGTTCAGACAATGTTAATGAAGGAACAAAATTCGCTTTTGACCTCAACCTTGAACCTGTTGATGAAACTTTGGACATCAACGTTGATCATGTTGATGAAGAGAATCGTGATGCTCTGAATCCTGTTGATGAAGAGAATCATAACTCTATGAATCATGTTGATGAAGAGAATCATGATTCTCTAAACCCTATTGATGAAGAGATTCGTGATTCTCCGAATGACTCATATACTCCCGGTGACTTGGATTCGTGTTCGATTTGTCGTGGGACTTTGGTCAATGAAAGTGATATTCAACGAACACTACAGGAAATGTGGGTATTAATAGCGTAAGAGCATAGCGTTTTGAATGTTTATGCTATAATAGAGTTTTGAAAAAATTTAGATAGCGTTTGGAGAAAGGCAAACGCTATGGTAGGTTGAGCGCGAAAAATATTTCAGAGTGGCGCTTAGTATTTGGTCTATGATAGCATAGATGTAAATTAAAACGTTATTATAGGTATAACCGGGAAACTAAAATTTTATTGGCTCCAAAAATTTTACTAAGTAACAAAATAATAAAAAAAAACAAAGAAACAATAAGTTAAAAAAAAAAAAAAATTAGGGCTATCGATCCTTCTCACATCTTTCTTCTTTCTTTCCTCTTCTCACATCTTTCTTCTCTGTCTCGAGACTGATCCGTTCTTTCTCCCTGAAAGACCAAATATGAACACCAAATGAAACCCAATTAGTTTCTCTTCCACTATCGATCCCTAATTTTGTCTAATCCCTCTCAGATCTAAATCCCTCTCAGTCGAAATCTCTCTAGATCTCGATCGTATGTTTCTTAATCGTCACAGACATCAATCGAAATCAAATTGGTTAGTATATGTATGGGTGTTCGATATTCTCAATGATTTAGTTTTTATTCATGTTAGGGTTTCATCTGTTTTTGTTGTTTTTGAAGTAATTGGGTTTTGGATTGTTGTTTGTGTGATTTGAATCGTGTTTCTTTCTTCTTATGTGAGTTTGGGTGTTCGACTTTCAATTTGTGTTTTCGATTGATTTATGTCTGAGTTTAGATTCATTACAAGATAGTCTATTTACTAGATTCTTTACTAGATAATGCATGTATCGATTGATTTTTGTCCTGAGTTTGGATAGTGTAGAAAAGTTTCTTGCTCTCATATAAAGATGCTAATTTGGTTTCCTAGCTCTTGTCTCTAGTTCTTACCGGTCGCTGCCACTGCTCTCATGATTATTGATGTCTCATGTATCTTTTTCTGATGTGTAGTTGGATTTGCGGATCTGTATGGATTTGAAGTACAAGAGGAATCCATATGCTTCAGACATTGAGTAACTTTAAGGACGGTGAAGTCGTGCTTCTCCAGGATATCTGCAGAAAGGCAAGTGATTGAAGAATAATACGAACAAAGCCTTGAGAGAATGTCATGATTATTTATTCTTTGTTTGGTTGTTCTGTTTCAGGTTGCGATTCATCTTATGGTTAACCAACTTCTTGGATCTTTTTATTTGTTGTTCAGGCACGAAAGGAAATCATAAGCAAGATAAACAAGACGATAGAGAAGCGGTTGCAGAACAAAGCAGCATCAGATACTGCTGGCGCTGGGAATGGTGTACTTGGAAGATTGCTTGAAGAAGAAAGCTTACCTCAGATGAAACCACCGCGAAAACATCGTGCAAATGAGCAGGAAGAACATGATAGGCTCGCAGGTGGAATGCTAACATGGCAAGATTACAAGACAATGGACGAGCTGTGTTGTGTTTGGTAATATGGAGAAGTCATGGGTTTGCCACTCAATCACTCTAAGCCATATGTTGGCAGGTAATCTTTGAACAAAGATGGCAGGTAATCTTTAAAACAAGTTTTGGATCTTTGATTGCTTTAAGAACTTAATGATGTTCAATAGTGAAGATGTTGTGATTCTTGCAGCTTACCTGGAGACTATGGATTCGACCCACTTGGTCTTTCAGACCCAGAAGGTACTGGAGGATTCATTGAGCCGAGATGGCTAGCATACGGAGAGATCATCAACGTACTGGCGGATCCCGTCAACAACAACGTCTTGACCAGCCTCAAGTTCCACTGAGATGATCATCCATCTCATGTGTTTTATGTCTCTTTGTATCCTAAAATCTTTCTATATCTTGCTACCATTGGCTTCTTCGTATTGTAACACCCTGTGTAAACATATTCGTGTTTTGTAAGAAATGACAATGTCAATGGCCAAAAGAAAAAACTTTTAGGATTAATATTATCTCTTGGCAAAAATATAATTAATTATTTGGAAAAAAAATTAATTGGAAAAAATTGAATTAATTATTTTAAGGTATGTACTTTAGGTTTCAATTTTAAAGATTTTTAAAATGATTTTTGAATTTTGTAAAAGAAAAGTTAAAAAAAAAAAGGAAATATAAACAAATATAACCAAATATCTATAAAAGACATAAATATTTAATTATAATATTAATAATTACAAAAATAATAACAAAGTTATAATTTTAAAGAGTTTAGGGTATAGAGTTTAGGGTTTAGGGTATGAAATGTATGGTTTAGGTTTTTGGATTATATTTGTTTGAAATAGTAATAATATTAATTATAACAAATAATAACATAAATAAAATTCATTTTTAAAAATAGTTTAGGGTTTAGGGTTTAGGGTTTAGGGTTTAGGGTTTAGGGTTCAATGTTTTAAATAGTAGTTAATATTAATGATATAAAGTATACTATTATAACATAAATGAATTCTATCATTTTATTAATTATAACATCATTAATGTGTTTCAACAATATGATTTACACAATAAGAAGATTAGTGTACATGTATTCTAAGGCAATCATATCTGTTACCTTCAAATTTCTGAAAACGTTGCAAAATATTTTTTTTAAATTGCGAAAAAATTATCTAATCATGTAAATAACTCATAAACATATTAATTCATCAATATATAATTTTTTAAAATTATATAAATAGTAAAAACACATTTTTATGCCTATAGACAAAATAAGCCAATCATAATGTTTCACTCGGATTGCTGATGTGGCGAGATCTCAGCCATTCATCGGATCTAATACTTGATCAATTTACTCAATCCAATCATAATGTTTCACTCGGATACACGACGTGGCAACATCTCAGCCTTTCAAAGGCTTTGGCGGCTGCATGTTTAAGGTAATCTCATCCGTTCATCGCTCAACAAAGGCTTTGGCGAGATTTTTTTTTTTTTTTTTTTTTTTTGGGCTAAAGGCGAGATTCTCTTCAACCTTTCATCCTTTCCTGACATCGACTGAGACAAAATTCACAAGAAAATTAATTCAGATTAGGTCTTCTCTTTGGGCTAAAGGCGAGATTCTTCACTGCAAGAATCGCATCCTCTACCGAGCTGATGAAACCATTAGCTTCTTCTTCTCTCTGTTTCTGCAAATCAGACTCTTCCTCCAAGCTTCGCCTTTTGTTGTGTTTCTATCCAATTTTGACAGATTTTGATTGGGAAGAATCATTCCGAGCCATGTCTCCGGCTAAAGGTACGATTTTGAATCATTACTTGAGCAAGATGATTTTGAATCCTTTAACTAGACTTCAGTTTGATGGAAACAGTATTTACTGGCTTCGATTAAAGTTTTCTAATCAATGGTTGTGGTGGTGGTGTGTGTTTGAGATCACCATGGATCTGCAAGAACGCATCTTGTAGAGCTAATGTGAATAAAGATGATTCCTTTTGCAAGAGATGTTCTTGTTGTGTTTGTCATAATTTCGATGAAAACTAAGACCCTAGTCTTTGGTTAGTTTGTGAGCCTGAGAAATCAGATGATGTTGAGTTATGTGGCTTATCTTGTCACTTGAATGTGCTTTTAGAGAAAACAAAGTTGGTGTTACGAGTCTTGGTAATTTCATGAAGCTTGATGGATGTTTTTGTTGTTACTCTTGTGCAAAGTTTCTCAAATTCTTGGGTATAGTTTCTTCTTTTATGCCAAAGTTCTGATCTATCTGTAATTAGCTTTGTATAACTCAATGTGTGTGTGTGTATTGATGAAGGTGTTGGAAAAAGCAGCTTGTGGCAGCAAAAGAAGCAAGGCGGCGAGATGTATTTGTGTTATAGGATTGATTTGAGTTATAGACTACTCAATGGGACTGTTAGGTTTCCGTGAATTACCACGGAAAATGATGTGAGACAGAGGAGGAAGATGAAGATAGGAGACAGGGGCAGATGAAGAGGCATTCTATGTAGAGGAGATGTATTGGTCTTGTATTTTTAATTGATGTAGTATTTTTATAAAAGTTTTTGTATATTATTTCATGTAATAATGATAATAAAATATTGTATTTTTTATTTTTGATATGTAATTTTAATCCAAAAATCACAATAAAGATGATTTAAATACAATTAAAATAATTAACAAAAATATAAATATTATAAAAAATATAAATTATTGAAATAATTAATCAAATAAATATTGTAGAAAAATCAAATCATGAAAATAGGTACAACCCAATCATAACAATTATTACACGTTATTATAAATATTAATAATAGCAGTGTCATAACCGCTATCGTAGTTCAATTAACTATAGCACAACGAAAAACCGCTATCAAAAGTGTCCGACTTTCTATAACGGGCGATGTCAGAGCGCTTAAGGAAACGCTATGGTAGATGAATAATTGCGTTTTTCGGCCGCTATTAATACCCACATTTCCTGTAGTGGAACACTTGTTACACTTAAATGTGCTCACAAGTTTCATCTCGGTAATTTATCTAAATTTTTTTCCAAATTAAATTATTATTTTTATTTTATTTTATTGAATATAATTTTTATTTGTAAAGGAATAAATTCATTGATTTTCTCTTGTTAATATGAGTGATATAAAATATCTCCCTTTTCAATTCGTTTATAGAAGAACTATTGATCTATGATTTGAAAGAGTTATATGTTTGAGATTGTGATCTATGATTTGTGATATTTTGGATCAGTTTTATTCATTCATAAGTATATTAAATTTTTTTAATCTACTTGCATTTGATACATCCATTACATCACTCTGTTTTTTTTTTTTTTTATTAATGGTTTATGGGCTATGGTTATTCATAGACATCTAACAATGGTGTGTTGACATGTTTTCTTTGTGTACAGACTGTATCGGCTCAGCATATAATGCAAAGGGCTTCATGGAATGTCCAAACTGTAGGAATATAGAACCAGGTGAATGGCAGTTTGCAGACGGCACCCATTTCAATGCCGATAATATGATTGCTAATGACGATGAACAAGAAGAAGACAATGATCCTGGATGCTTCTCTCAATTGGTAATATTTGTTTGGTTTTTGAATTGATCTTATTTCATTAATGAATTTTACAAAAACGATGCTTATCTTACAATTGACCGCATCTAATATACATATAGTTTTTGATGCTTAAAAGACATCTTCACGTATGCTTAGTCTACTAAATCTTGTATAGAGTAATGCTTAAATAATGTTTTGTGTATCTTGTAGATTGTAAAATCGGAGGTGTGCCCTTTTGGATGCTTAGGTCAACGATATCCCTTTGAGTAAGATTTACACTAAATATGGTTACATTAATACTTTAATGTTGTAAAATTTTGGCAAAATTTGAACTTTAACATCCTCGCTCTCTCAAAACATTGTAGTCGTCTACAATGTCTTTATGTAGAGTGTTCTTTCTACATTACTGAGTACTTTACTCGTGATGTCTCTGAGAGTTCATATTCAAGTAGCCAAGAGGACACAAACACTGAAGAAGTCCCTAATCCTATTGGTTCACCTGTGATACCACCATTCACTTATCGCAGCCCATATCCGTTGTTTCCGCATATTCACGTACCATCTAACAGAAATATTTTCTGGAGTTTCTTACGCCCAGGGGTGATGAGAGCTAGACACTACCTTTCCCATCCATTTTTCAACCATAGGTAAAAAAATATTTCATGTCTTCCACTATTTTTCAATAAAATTCCTTATCTTTATCTTTTTTTTTAATAGATGAAATCTTCAAACAAATTTTATCTTGTAGTCTCTTAGGAAGATCCGGCATCTCAATGGTTAATGCACCAATGGCTTTGTCATATGCAAGCAGCAGCACAACGCAACTTAACCCATCTAACGTATGGGAGAGTACTCAGCCTTTCTTGTCGTTGAGGCATCATTGCATGGTCGAACATGAATTATACCGCATGATTTATGGTGACCGAAACGAAATGGGAGAAGTAAGCGGCAACCATGGAGGCAGCAGAAGAAATAGAAACAATGGTGACGGAGGAAGCGGCAACTTTGGTGGAAATGGCAACGGCAATGTGATAAGTGGCTGAAGCTAAAGTGGTTGTGGTAGCTTATGTGGCTATAAGCCATAATAAGTATCTTTATCATTTTCTTTCTATTCTCATGAAACTTTAGTTTAATTAAATAAGTGAACTTTGTTTTTTTTTTTTAAATCTCAGAAACCTTGAACTATTTATCAATTTATATTGGTTATTTTCTCATTGTAGCTTGAGATAATTCTTCTTTTATGCTCTAGAAATTTGAAAAGTGAATCTTTGTTTTATGAACATTGGTTTATTATATCGTTTGATTTGATCTACGTAGAGAAATTGTAATTTCTCTTTATCAAAGTCGGGTCTAGCACTAATTAACCTGCGTCCTCAAAAAGGCAGTCAAGAATAAGATTGGTTATTTGTAATACATTGCCACATAAAAGTTTTTAGGTCTTCTCTAGTGATAGTTTGTTGTACACTCTACTTGAAGTGACTGCTCTGTTTTTTTTTTCTTAGTTTTGTTGCAATTATATTTATATTCATTCATCCACTCGCTTGTAAATAATTTCTTTTGTGAAGCAATGATTCGAAATTTTAACCAAAAAACATTAATTGATGTATATGTTTATTAATTAATTATTATAACTGAGGTGAAATATTGTTCAATTGGACATGTACACTACAGACCATTTTAGCAGTTCTATTAATATGCTTGTAACAGAAAAAACCATAGAGGCTAGGGGTTTGTATAGTATTGTCAATGCACCACCATAAGAATTGAAACCTGCATATTATATGTTATATATTGACAAAACATTAGGCACATAAAATTTATAAAAAAAAATTAACTAGTTAGTAGTAGTTTGATTTTTGTAACGCCTCGAAAATTCCAAAGAAATTGTCAATACATTACTAAATAAAATAAAATAAATGTCTTAAAATTCAGCATTTGAAAACTTTGATGTCTCTCCCTACACCCGGATCCCAAGAATCACGAACAAGTTTGATTCTCCAACTTCAATCTGCGGAGATCAGACGACGTTAGCGATTGACTATCACCGAGTGAGCATAAATAAATAATCCTATGTACCAGCAGGGTTTGATTCCACAACAAACAATGTTCACGCATTGGTATTCCTAATTCTATTTCGGTTTAGAGATGACTCACATGTCTTCAAAACAATTCGCTTATCATTAACTTATTCACCAAAACAATATTTACAAACATTAGAAGAATCGGAATGCTTTGGCAGCCGTGCATGCGGTCTCAGCTAAGCAACGCGTAGATGCGGAGAGAGAGATAAAATGGTTACGGAAGTGGCATCACTTCCAACCAAACAACAGACTCGGTACCATGGTTCCCAGTTTTTTTATATATCTATATAGTGAAACACAACAATTCTGTTTACGAGCAATCATATTACTAACAAACCACAAAAATTCATCAGACTGATTAACATTAAATTTCACCTAGTCTAATCACGAGTCAATTCCAATTTCTTGAACCGATCTAGTTAATGTAATTTATCTCATATGTTAATTCTTTAATGTCCAGCAAATTATAATAAAAACGAGAGACATAATGACACAATACTCACGTTTTATAACCAAGTCAAACCACTCACTACAATAGAAATGAACGAGTCCAAATTAATACAAAGATAATGAAAAGCACACTAATCTATCAAACAAAAGAAGAACAGAAGAACTCATATCTAACAAACATAGAGAAAACAATTTAAACTATCAACAAAAGACAAGAAAACTCTACATCTAGTAACATATAACAAATTTAATAATCTAATAGAGGTAAAGACAAAGAAAAACTCACAGATAATCAATCCTAGGTTTCGGTGTAGTCAACGGAGGGACTCCCACACAATTCTCTTTTATGCCAATATATACTTCACTAAGATTTTCTTAAACCAGCAAAAGACAAAACCCTAATGCACACTTATTCAATTCACGTAAATGGGCTACTATAATAGCTAAATGGCTTAATTTAATCAAGAGTAACAAAAACCGTTATAAGACAATTAATGGATAATAATAAGCATACAACGACTTTACCATTGGCTACTAGAACTATCCTATTAATTTCCTATACCTTAACTTTGACATATTTCAATTACGAAAATCTTGACACACAATACAAGAAGAAAAAAAGAATATGTAACAACGCAATCAAATATAATTAACATGTATAACAGTATAAGCAAGATCATAAATTATTAAGTCTCTAATTATTATCGCTATTATTTTTCAAAAAAAAAAAAAATATCAGGGCTTTACAATTTTATTGAAGCGAAATATACAGTTTGTGCAAAAAATTCAAAAATATGTTACCTATTGATATATGTTACATATTCCATTTACATTTGGCGCGCACCTGTCTTTAGGTATGATTAGTGCAAAATATTTATAATATATGTTGCTTAATGGTATTTATTACATATTTATTAAATACAATTAACGACAATGTCTTTGGAAATAATTAGCTTGAAATAATTAATATATATTTTTAGCAGAAACTTTATATATTTTAATTTTTTGTTGCTTAATGATAATTCTTACATATTCATTAATTAAAATTATCTCATTAGTCATTAGATATAATTAGTATGAGATACTTATATACAAGTGGGGAAATTTTTTAAGATAATCTGCTTTAAATTTCTTAGATATAATTAGCACATAATAGTTGTTTACCTAAAATTGGCGCCGAATATTTAAATTATTAGACTTAGTGATATCTTTAATATCTTTGTAGATAAAATTAATGGGAAAAAATCGTTAAATACATAATTGGCGCATAAATATGTTATTAATTGATAATAGTTACATCTTTGAAGAGTGTCAAAAAGTATAAAAAGCAAAAATAAAGTTTTGAGTAGCATCCTTCTATATAAACATGACATGTCCATTTTGGAGTTTCATACACAAGCTGAGATTAGGTTAGAGTTTTTTTTTTTGTTTGTCATTTTGGTTTCAAGAAAAGAAAACAAAGAAATACAGTATATGAATTTGGATTTGAGAATTTTGTTAGATAATACTATGACTTTGAAATCAAAGAGTAAAAATGTTAGCGAGAGCAAACAATTCGCTTTTGACCTCAACGTCGAAGCGGTTGATGATGACAATTGTGATTCTCCGCTCGAACGATCTAATTTTTGTTCAGTTTGTCTCGAGCCGTTACACATAAATGTGAAGCAGAAACGCAAGAGAAAAAATAATATTTATAAGATCAATGGCGGACCCAGAAAAAATATTTACCCAGGTCATATATAAATATGAAACTATATTATTTAGTATATCGCATAATAATATTATTCAAGTACAATGAATCTGGAAAAAATATTAATTGTGGTTTTCACTACTTTTCGACCAACAAAATAAAAGAAATAAATCATCAAAAGGTGTCAAACTGGGGAATCGAACATGGTTACTGGGGTGTCAATAGGCATGCAATTACCAAATCTGCTGGTTGTTTTTTAAGTACTCTTATACATAAACACAAATATAATTATTTTACCCAGGTCACTTGACCCTCCTTTCCCCTGAATGGGTCCGCCCGTGTATAAGATGATTAACCAATTAACCCTAGCCCACGTCTTTCCCGTTCAACAAAAAAATTAGAAAAAAAATGAAAAAATCTAAACCAAACTAAACCGGATGAATTAAACGATTTGGGCGATTATCACCGAATTGGACCGCCTGGACGGAGGTCCGGTTAGTTTCTCTGATCTACAATAAACCGTGGCGCTTGGTCATTGGTGGAGGCCTAGGCGATGTCTAGGCCGATTTTTTGAACCTTGAATGTGACCATAAGTTTCATTTCAGTAATTTTTTATTTTTACACCAATTTATTTTACTTTATATTCTCTGGAATTTTCATTTGAAAATGGAAACAAATTCATTGACTTGCTCTTGTTGATGTGTAAATATTCTGTCCGTTTCAAAATATAAGACGCTTTGAGGTATTATTTTTGTTTCAAAATGTAAGACGTTTTCAAGTTTCTATTCAAATTATATATTAATTTAATATTTTCTGATTATTTATATTATGCAGTCTCATTCATGATTAGTTGAACTTTTTAAAAGTGGATATTTCTTAATCTGCGTGCTTTTAACTAAAACGTCTTATATTTTGAAACGAAGGAAATATAAAATACCTCCCTTTTTACTACGTTTGCAAAACTAAGGCCACTTCCATCCATAAGAACCTTTATGAGTTTCTTAAACAAAAAAATATAACTAATTTAATACAATTTAGTCATATAATTAAATTTTAATTTCAAAACGAAAATTTAACCAATATATAGAAGAAATGTGTCTCATTAGGTTTTTATGAGGGTTCTTAAGTTTCTCATTTAAGAACCCCTCTTTGCTCTCTCTCTTCCTTTTCTATTTTTTTTTTTATTTTTTGATGGTTAGAAACTCATCTAAGAGCCTCCCATTGGAGGTGCTCTAAAGATCTTTAATTTCTCAAGTCTTGAATATTCTTTTAGCCTTCTGTTGTAAAGATTAATACGGACTTTGAAAGAATTATTTATCACATGTGATATTTTAGGTCATTTTAATTTAATCCACATTGTACAATTTTTTTAAAAGAGTTTCTTTCGATTGTTGACTTGTTGTAATTATTACCTCAAACATTATATTCTATGCACTACAATATTGGATGTTCAGAGTTCAGACAATGATATTCGTGTTTTAGTCGACCAAAATTGTCCATACATATTTAATTAGGATTATTTACCTAATCAGTTTAAGATAGCTTGCATCCAAATTTTTTTTTTTTGAATTTAATGTTAAATTATATTCAAAGAAAAAATAAACGTTTATACATTTGAATGCAAACTTTTTAAAACTTCTAAAGAAAAGATTCTAACTTTCTTATTGCCTCCTTGCGAACCACGTTTGGATACCGCCATCGAGGTGTCCTCCTCTTGTGATCGTGGACAGCCGATTTCGCATATTTTTGTCTATCAGTTTTACCAGCCTTTCCGTCGAAGAAGGTGGTTCGCCATGTCGTCTGTTATTCCTCTCTCCCCAAATAGAATGTATCGTATTTTGGAAAATATATCCAAGAAGAAATCTCTTTACTTTGTCCAAATCTTTTCTGCCTAGCCTCATCATTACATCATTCCAGTTCGTCGAGAAGTGTTCATTGAGTATTCCTCTCACTAGCTCTTCCCAAATCTTCTGCGAGTAGGTGCAATGGAA